TACCATTTGGAGTCGAACGTCCAAATGGTAGGCTCACCAGCGGCGCAGTAGATTTCTGAATACTAGTAGCTCAACCGGGGTTCGAAGAACGGCGAACGGGCTGGCTGCATGGGAGTTTTCGTGTTTTTTTTCCCTATGTGTGACGTCGATACCAGCCAGTCTACTTTAGAATTTCTTTCACGAAGGCATCTCTTCTCATAGGTAGATAGCCCTAGTGTGCTTTGTCATATTTAAATAAACCAAGGCTACAAACGAATGCGTTAGAGAGACCGCTTTTAATTGTTTCTGCACCTAAATCGTCCAAAAAAATTATTATTTTTGAAGATATGCTTTTTTTGCAGCAAGCAAATAGCCACAAAGCTATTAAATACAGATATTAAACATCAAAATTTCTATTCCACTGGAATTTCCTTTACTTCTTAATGCATCGTAAACGTTATAATTTGGCTACTTTTTTAAATCATATATGAAAGAATATTCATATTCATTCTACGATCTACGGTAAGAAATTACTAATCTTCAGCAGTTCGATCTCTTAAAATTCACGGTATAAAATGACGACACTTAAAATAAAAAAATTAAATTTAAAAAAAATCAATTGTTTCTTTAATCCATTATGACTAAGCGCATGAGGCTATCTGCTTAAATGAAGGTTTGTGGAGGGCTTTCATTTTCTAAATGAAGCCGGTTCGCATTTATGTTATATATACACTGACTACCAATAAGTATTTGGTCACCTATGCAAATGACGATATCTGCGGTTCTAAGGTATTTCACGGACTCCGCTGGTATATATCATGTAGGAAACAGCATCGGCTTTAGTCGCATTCAAGATGCCTAGCAGTTCGGAGCTCTCTGATTTCGAGAAAGGTATAATTATAGGGTATCACAAATGTGGCCGATCCTTAAGGGACATATCTAGCGATCTGAAGTACCCAAAATCGACAGTGGCCTATGTGATTAAGAAGTGTAAGGTGAGCGGTGATTGTCGGAATGTGCCCCGAGTCGGCAGACCAACGAAACTGGGAGATAGAGATCGACGAGTGCTGTCCAGAGAAATTCGGAAGAACCGCACCCAACCGATAGCCCTCATCCGCGAGGAGTTTCAACAGGCATCCGGGAGTATTGTTTCAATGAATACCATCCGTAAGGAAACACATCTGCTTGGCTTTCATGGTCGTGCTGCTGCTCATAAGCCTTTGATCACAAGGTCCAACCGCGCTGCTCGGTTAATGTGGTGCAAAGCACATCGAAATTGGACCGTAGATCAGTGGAAACGGGTTCTTTGGTAAAGGGTGAACCTTGAGTGACGAATCAAGGTTCACCCTTTACCGTTCAGATGGCAGGGTCTGGGTCTGGCGTCTACCTGGAGAACGTCTCCTGCCAGAATGCATTGTGCCAACAGTCAAGTTCGGCGGAGGTGGAATTATGGTCTGGGGGTGTTTCTCCTGGTATGGGCTGGGACGTTGTGGCAGTTTTACGGGTTGGACCCCTGTTACTTTCAGGACGACAATGCCAGTTGTCATGTTTCGACGTTAACCAAGGCTGGTATGGTGCAATGAAGTTCATCGAATGGACTGGCCTGCCCAGAGTCCAGACCTGAACCCTATCGAGAACCTCTGGGACGAGTTGCATCGCCGAATTCAGGGGTGCACTACCCGTGCAAAATCGGTGAAGGAACTTCTATGTCTTCTCCAAGTCGAGTGGAAGAAAATACCACTAGCTGTCATAGAAAGACTTATGGAAAGTATGCCCCGGAGGGTCCACGCTGTAATTACCTCTCGTGGAGACTCTACTAACTATTGATTTTGAATAAGTTAGTTTTTCTTTTCTATCACAGGTATTCAAATACTTATTGGTAGTCAGTGTATATCGATATATAGCATATATACCTATGTTATATATATCGATAAAAACGTCCATATACTTTCGCTATAATAAGAATCAGAGCCGAAACAAGAGTGCATTAGTTTGATTTATTAGATTATGTGAAAGCACTCTGGTTCCACTACTCCATTAAACTGCAATTTAATCAATTCTACAGACGAATAAAATTAAGCGTTCTGTTTTGATTTAATAAGTAAATAATTTTAAAACTTGTTCCACTGTCGCTTTAAACTCCTAAAATTCAATACAATTTAAGCGAATCTCTAGGGGGAGAAAATTCGAGATTTGTTTTAATTTAATAATCGTGCAATTTTAAAAATAATAATGAACAAAACTTAATAATTTATTTCTGTGAAGTTTTGAAAATTACACAAGTTTATAACAATAAGTAGCAGAATTAAGAAAATTTCGACCCCACCCCTTTTTTTAAAAGACAAAATGAATTTACACGCACCTGTCATGAAACAGCGACTCAATCATGAATAGTTTAGAACACTTTCCCCCCCCCCATCCTGATATTCAGACCATTAGCAAGCGTAAAGAAGTAATACAAAGAAACCTTTTTAGCGATTAACAATATTTGCCTTCACAAAAGCTCGTAAAGGAAATAAAAAGCTTCATAACAGAAAAGTATATATCTATTATACATACGTAACATCAGGGTTAAAAAAAAATTGCAAATCATAATGACACAGCAGACTGGATGATTTTGTAATCAAGAAAAGATACAAAATGTCAATCTTTACTGTCGGTAAAAGCATAGAAAACGTCTACTGCAAAAGAGTATTCCGAATTCCAGACTTTGCTTCAAAACATCGTTCTACGTCACAAATACAGAGGACGTAATTAAGAGCCGTCCAGACGATATCCCAGACGGCTTCAAGATGAGAGAAAAAGGATCGCAGAAGATCCAGATACAAAATAAAACTATCCCAGCGTCTGGAACAAAACGTAAAATATTTAAACATAGTACTCTATACATCTGACACTATGTTAAATAATTTAACAACGAAAAATATTTAATCATTTCAAAAATAAAAAAGTTATTCCTTATCGAAATTTTGTAATTCAATTTCTTCCCGTTTGCATAAATTAAACAGCCCTGTCGACGGTTAATTAATTAGTTCAGCAAAGCAGAAGAGGACCTATCTACCTTCAGAGGTATGCCTTCGAGGAAAATTTCCTCCAGGTAACCGGTTTGTATTCACGTTACAATATAGGCAAAATCATAAAAACCTTACACAGCCACTCACACATCGAATAAGGACGAAATACCAGTGTTTGGCGATTATATCTCCTCTGCCACTGATGGGCGAATCTTGTGATGTTCGGGCTTGTGCGACCCATGAAAGATCTGGAATGAATTATTAACGGCCATATGCTCATGAGTGGAATATTAATGACCTTTTGGCTCGAGTTCGTTTATCAGATGCACGAAGTTTTCATGTTTTTTCACTTGTGTAAAGTGCAGTGCCGATTCCAGACCGCTGGCCTCCTACGTGCAAATTAAAATTGCCGGGCCTTTTTTACAAACCTTATGCTTTAAATTTTAAAATTAATTACTTTTTTTCGCCGCCCTTAAATTTGGCCGGCAACGTGCTATAAACCATCTTCCCCCCCCTGCTAGGATAGACCCTGGTAAAGTGAATGTGGGACCTTGAGTTCTTTCCTCTAATGAATTCATCAACCACTCAATGGCCACCCAAGATGATCATACGCATGGCAATGTATCCGATATAGGTAAACTTTAATACAAAACGACAACGATTTCACTTACCCCTCAAGCTCCATTTACTTCTTAAACTAACAGGTACAACTAACTGAAATGGAGCTCGAAAAATATAAAACTGCTTCAGACCGTTAAACTTCCGATTTCTATTGATGTAAACTCCTAATTAAGCAAGTTCAAGGGCAAGATTTGCCAAGATCCTAAGCTATTTGAGATATGGGCTCTTTATGAGGGATATGAGTTAATTTTTTTGTATCGAATATGCTGTGCAACTTATACGTAAATCCGGCACTGGGAATTACCACCTAAATTTGCAACCCCGGTGATAAGGAGGTGATTTCAACTCATATCAATAAATATTTATTCAATTAGCATCTAATCTAATCAGAATTCTTTTTAATTCTAAACAGTACAGTTTAACCAGCTACCGAAGAAAGTTCCGGAACTAGGCTGACATCCTACTCTTCCCAGTTAATTTTATAAGACATTACATATAACTTTACTACAAATAACCGAGTCTCTTGAATCAGTATTTATTAAATTAGAGCTTAATTCCTATACCCTTCAAACAGTCTGAAAATATCAAACAGTTTCAGTTCACTCAACCATAGCAGATTCGTGACAAAGGCTAAATTTACTAATGAATAATATTTAATCATATATATAACTATTTCCAACAATAAGTCTGTGGAAATAATAATGCGATCATTTACTTCATAATTCCATGCCACTTTCTTGAAAAAGAAAATAACCTACGTTTGAGATTGGCACAATTTCCTTCTTCTTTACCATCCTTCTACTACAAAAAATAACTTCTGCTTTTTTTAAAAATAATTTGGAGGACTGGAGAATTTTTGTATGGAACAAAATATGTGGATCATGCTTTTGAAAGAATTAATTTATAAATTATAAATTCCAAATGTAGAAGATTCAAAGACCACTACATATATTCACACTATTAACACTTCGCTCCTAAAATTTTCAAAATAGCACCACAATATGAAATCCTGAAGTACTAAATCAGCAGTTTAGATTGAAGAAGACACTAAAGTCAATAGTAAAAAGTTTAGACATAATATGCAGTTTGAAATTGAATACTGACGGTATTGAAAAAAACTATAATCCTGAAAAATTTGCCCATGTCAGAAAACTGCTCAATTTTGTCATCCAGCATGCATATGTATATATAATTTCCATTGAACTTCAGAAGCCATTAAAATGAGCAGAATGAGTTCTCACTCAAACTTACATTAGAAATAACAGAATCTCAAATTCATGCAGAATGCAAATGTGCTACACATTAGCAAGACTCAAACCAAATATGAATTGCTTATGCATTAAAATTATAAAAGAGATAAATTTAGAAAGAAAATCTGAAACTTACTTGCTGTACCCTGGCCCCGTCTGCCTCGGGTTCATAGATTGTGCCTGGTAGGGCTTGGAGGGTACAGAGCCGGGAGGACCGCCATTGGCAGGATAGCCACTCTGTGGAGCTCCTTGGGCGTAAGGCATCGGGGCGATGGTGGTGCTGGTATTTGCACCGAAGGAACTATGGGCAAGAGGCCCGCTCTGTGTAGTTGTCGCAACGCCCCAGACTGTTGTGACCACGGACAACTGCTGCTGGGCACCTTGTGGTGGGCCTGATGGCGGAGGACCCGAGGAAGGCGACTGTTGCCAACCGCCCATTGACATGGAAGGATCGCTAAATGGAAAAAAGAATTATCACACAAAATGCCGATAACTCATCTTCATTATTCTAAAGAAAAATTTAAAGTAACGAGAAATGCCCTAAAAATGTTTCGGGTTTTGATAATAATATATTCTTTAGAACTATATTACAGAAGAATTTTAGGCACACTAAAATTACTGTTTACTGAAAGAAAAATTATACACACTTGAGGGATCCCCCCAAAAATTAGATAAAAGATATCCTTTGAAATATGAAGCAATACATTTTCCCTCGTAAGTGATTTTATCGGCAAGCAGCGCTTATATAGTGAAAGCCACCTGAGAAGCTTTTACAGCTGATTACTTAATCAAAAAGGTAGTTATAGTATGATTTAAAAGACTTTTAGTTAGGAATAGTAAAAAGATGCTCATAAGGTAGGTCATTAAATTCAGGGATATAGACAGTACTTAAGATTTTTGCACTGGAATATTTTAAGAAAATGTATCGTGAATATGAAAATTACAGTAAACCATAGAATGCACAATAGCAATGTGGCTGCTGAAATACTTTGGATGATCGTGATAAATTTCATTTGTCAAAACATATTTCACGCAACAAGCGTGCAATACAACGATTAAGTTCTATCACAGATGAATGCTGAGGTCTGTACTACAGTCTGTTATTCAAAGAAAAGATTTCACATTTGTTTACCAAATTCAAAAAGATAAATTTTTTAAAAAATCTGATGTGGACACCACATGACTTCCTTGTATGGCCTATTAAATTATATAGTTTTTGCTGGATTTCATTTAAACTTATTTCCTTAGATATATTTCTCATTCAATCAATTCAATTTTCACTCAAAGGCAAGGCAAAAATACATAAAAACTCAAAACATCTTCATTAAAAATTGTAAAATACCAAAAAAAAAAAAAAAAAACTTAGCACTGAATGCAGCTCAAAACAGTTAAAAATCAATTTCTGCAATTAAAATTAGAGTTTGTATGGAAAAACAAGCAATTCTGTCTATGGGTGAAAAGGCAAAAATTTTGGAGCCCTAAATTTAAAGTCAAATTTGGGTCTCACTCGGCATAGAGAATACTGAAGTAGGTGCTCTGACTTAATTCACTATACTATGAAGAGTTTCAAGTGTAAACAAATTCTGCCTTGTTACTCCTTGTAGGAAACCATCTAACATTCTCAATGGCAAGATAAAATGAGGTGGATTCCAGCATTCATGAATAAATATTTAATACAAACATGCACCATTTTAAAAGTAAACAAAAATAAAAACAACATTAAAAAAAGACATGCATCTTTACTGAAATGTCAATTAACTAAGGTGAATGTCAATCCCATGAAGCAAATCCATTTTCATTGAGTAAATATTGAATGTGTATAGACTTTTGCAAAAAGATAGACAACTATTAATTTCTATGAAGTATAAAGTATCATGAATAAAAACAGTAATTTGCAAAATACATCCACATTAAAAAAAAATCATTACTGCTTTACAGCAAAATCACACCATGGATCAAATTCGATATCAAATCTTAAGAATGAATTTGAAAGCTAAATTTTAGCATTAAATTCAAAAACTGCTTATTTTCCCACACTTCAGAGATATTTAACAGAATAAAAGAACAAGGAGAAGCATCAGCAAATAGGATGCGGACGAAAAAGAAAACGAGAAACAAAAGCTGAATTACCGCAAGTAACGATACGGAACACTGAGTACACCAAGGGCAAAATGCAAATTTTGATCTGGGAGGGCCCTTTCAGAATCATTTTATGAACGGCATAAATGAATTCATACTTGAGAAAAATGGAACTTGGTGTGTTTTCAGTGGGTTAGTACGTTTTATTTGTGAATCGAAAACTAAAGATATATATATATAGGAAAAGTCGAAGAATGAACACTTTTTTTAACACTTGATCAATTACAGTGTAGCAACAGTTCCACGAGTTTAACCAGATAAAACCAATCAAGGCCCACAAACAAAATTCTTTCACGGATCCCTGAATCCAACTTTCTTATTTTTTATCCCCCCCCCGGCTAAAAATAAGGAATTACAGGATGATCTAAAACATGAAACCTTAGCATGGACTTGATGAATTCAGATGCGATCATGTGCGAGATCATATGGATCTAAGTCTGAAAATGTTGTCTAATATTTACAGAAAGATAAATTTATAGAGTGGTGAAACTAACAGATATCAGTAAGTTGTACTACCACCTCTCAGGGCCTGCGAGCTGCAATCCGACGGGGAACCAATCAATGCTCAAACCCTTATCTTACATCTCACATTAAAAGTGTACATGCCAATGTAAAATTTAAAATTGGACAAAAAGGAAACTTAAGAAGAGCATTTTTTTTCTTCCCCTCCCCCCCCCCCAAGACGCAAAGAAAATGGGGAAGATTCTGCAGACTATTATTTTTTCCTCCCTCTTGAAGAAGAGGGACCTGTGTCTAACTGCCCTCAAAAACGATAGCTATTCAAGATCTACGCCAAACTAAAGGTTTTTTTTGGGGGGGGGCTTAAATGATCGAGCTTAATTTTACTAGGGAACGTTTCCCCATCACTTGCCAATTTCTACAGTCTATTTTTGATCTAATTGGGTCACTTATATTCAGTTTTAAAAAAGTATTCTACAATAATCAAATTGTTCATTACAATAAGGGAATTTTTTTCTAGGCAAACAGGCTTGACTTGAGCAATTTGATAACTATCCATTGACAACAAATCCCAATTTAATTAACTGGCATCTACTGTATGCCATTCTTGATTAATTCAAGATATTTTTTTATAAACACAAATACAGTACAGTATTTACAAAATGAATAAATGTAATACTTAAATATCCCAATTAATTAAGCTTCATTCCTACACTTCAGTGCTCTTTGGTGAAGTTTTACAAACACTCTGAGAAGGTCAAAGAGCAACATTAATTCATAACATTTGGCTGTAGGGGCTTTCTCCGAGTTTAAGGCGAATACTAGCTAGCCAGCCAGCCAGCCAGCCAGCCACTGACAATTCACGAAACATACTTCTATGAACTCCTCTTTCTTTCAACAAAGCACGAGAAGACACACACCCCTAGACAAGTTTTAGCGAAATAAGTAATTTATTTCTATTTGGTGGGCAAATAAGAATCTAGTGGAGAAACAAGAAATTAAAAATGCATTGTTGCAATTTAAATTCAAAATTCGACTTTATTATTTATACTTGGCCAAAGTTCCATATTCATCTAGAAAGAGAACTACAAACTTGGGAAGTGTTTATAGTTTTCCTGTATGCTACTTTAATGAAGTCATTTGAGTGTACTTAACGCATATATACAAATTTACAGAGTCGTAAATGGATTATACCGAACTCTGTTCCCTCCTCAATCCCCCCCAAATTAATCTCAATTCCCTCACTCCCCCCCCCCCAAAAAAAAATGAATAAGTGTTCCATCAGAGAGAGAGAGAGAAGATTCTGCTTGTGTGTTAAGCTAATGGATCTTAATACCGTTTTCTTAGTTTCAGATTCAACTGTAGTCATTTAGCGCAGGATGAAAATCAAACTGTTAACAAATCTGCAAAACAGATGTACTTATTCATTAAACTTCACTGCGGACGAAAACTTTCCCTCCATGTTATTCTGGGTCGGACATGTCAGACAAGGAAGGAAATCAAAAAGTAAAAATGGAATGCAAATCAAAAGTGCGGAACTTGAAAGTCGCAGAGATGCAATACAAGCGCGAAAAACTCGCGAGACATAGCGAAATGCGGAACGAAAAGAACAAGCGACCCGCTTTAGCGACAGCAGAAGGATTATTTTTAACCATTTCCGCAATCGGATAAAAATCTCGGTTTCTAATGTAGTTAAAGGAAAGACGCGGTCGACGCCCACACGCGGCCGACGGAGATGGAGAGGCGCAAATTCTACGCTAAAGGGAATTTGCATAGAACAATCGACGAACGGAAATTCGGTCAAAACACGTTTATAAACAGTGCTATTTTCCCCTTCCAAACTGTCATTTTCTTAAGGACTTCCTTCAGATTCAAACACGCTGTTTAAAAGAGAACCTCTTCGCTCAGCGTAGGAACATGCATTTGGGAATATAGGCTTAATGAAATATCACAAAACTAAAAAATAATTTATTGAAAAATAACTAAACGCAATCAAGAAATTTATCAGCTCAACTAGGAATATATTAATTCATTAAGGAAACTGGATATGGAGCGGGACAATAAATCTAGTTTTTATGATGTAACAAAATTCACTTTTATTCACAAAGATAAGATATACACAATTGGAAACCACAATTAATTTTAATAGTAAGAAGAAAATTATATGTTTTAAGCAATTTATATGAAAGTGATCCAAGAGAGTACTAAAAGTTCAACCACATTAATACTTGATTGAAGTTTTAATAATCCTCTGAAGTATTTTCACATGAAGTTCCTTTGCAGTTAGAAGCTGCTTATGCAATTTGCGAATTAGTATCCAAGCTTTCAAAAATTCTCTCTCCGCACATCTACATTTCCCAGAATTTGACATAAGTTTTCAATTTATTTTTCCTTAATTTTTTGCATAGCTCCTTAGTTTTTCTCCACATTTTTTCTCCTGACGAAAACAGATTTTGATTGGAATTCAGACCACCAACTGTTGAGTGATTAAAACTGATGCCAAGGTTTGGTTTGATTTGGTTTACACAAGGACTGTCTCTCTAATTAATTGGATGAATAGTCTAAAATTAATTGGATGGCTTGACTAGCCAGATATTCAGACTTAAATCTTATAATGGACACTCTTGGGAGGACAAATGTGACTCGGTGAACTCCACTCAGACCTGAAAACAGTACTGCTGCAGAAGTGGGATTGACTGTTGCAGACAAGAACTCATAAACTACTTGCTTTATGGTAAAGCCATGCTGTGAAAATTACATAACTATTAGAGAATGTCATACTCTCTATAGCTTCCTTTTTTGTTCAACCCTGCTACCTCAGTTTTACACCTTCTTGTGCTGATCAGCCTTATACAT